GGATCTAGCAAAGTTTTGCCAGGGGGCCAGGCAGGGCATTAACAGGGAAAGGGGCCACAAAGAAATGTGTTTCTTTCTTATTCTCATTTAAAAATGTCTAGCTTTTATTAAATAATTATCTGAATCTTATAACCAAAGTTTTTATCTGACGTAAAATGTATAGAAATCATACATATACCAACAAGACAGTGTACATCACTGTCACCACAGCGTTTGTTTTCATTCAAAGCCTTTATAGCTTTAATACCTTTAATACCGCATTAACTGGCTGAGTTAATGCGACATTGAAATGCAGCTGATTGAACTGAAAACCTCAACTTTGTGGGGGGTCAAAGTTTGCAGAACTATGAACGCAGCTGGAATCCGTAACTGTGCGTGTTCATGGAGCTTGCATTTTCACCTGCTGGACATCACTACCTGACAAGTTTAACTGTCTTCAGAACATTGCAGAGGCATTATTGACAGTATTTGGCTCTACATATCTGTGTGAGCAGATTTTCTCTCACATGAGTGTCCTCAGGTAGCGGTCTGCATGCTGGACACTCGTAGACCTGTGTCTCTGAGTGGGAGACCAGAGATCACATTAACATGTGTATCCCTGTATTAACAAACATGTCATAGTGGCTCAGTTTATTTTTCTTATCATTGTTGTGAGGAGACCATAAAGAGCATTTGCATTTTCTGTTGTACAGTTCATTTGCTGTTATGGAGTTCTTGTTATGGATAAAAAGTGTCTTTTTTTGTTTCAAAACAGCTGATAACTATTCGCTGATAGCTGCAAACATCTGCGAACAAATATAATTCTATAAAGTTGTTCTATATAGTGTGTAACTGTTAATATAGAGTTATTCAATTTATTGCTATTGCAATCATATGGCACATTGACTTCTGAGGAAATTTTAGATGGTACTCATCATCAGAAAGGTTGCCTACCCCCACTATAAGGCATACTTAAAATACTTTAATTTTCTCAAAAATCGACAGTGTGCCTTATGTCTCAATTCTGGTTGTGCTTACTGACCTTGAACCAATTTTATGTGGTACACGGCACGTAGAAATCTGTCAAAAAATGTTTTAGTATGACTTTGGTAAGCTATGAAGGCGCACAGCTTGATGGATTGCCGGAGCATTACGGCTGCCGTAGTCAGGAGCCTCGCGGAGTAATCTGGGTCCAAAACTCCGTCTGCTTCAGGTCCCAAAGTCAAACGAACACTGCGGCATCACAGAGTTAAAAACTGTCTAAAATCTTTCATCCTTAATAAAATAATCAGCGTTGCTGTTTTACCAGGTGTAACAATTAAGTTTAACATCCAGGCATCCATGAAAACAGAATTTATTAAATTTCAGTCAGGAGAACAACTGAGGTAATCCATCCACAATACGAGTTTAGTCATTAATATACTGCAACAACATGGGAATAGAACAGCTGCGAGAGAATTCAGCATTATTGAATCAATGGTACGGAAGTGGAGGAAGCGCAGTTTTTAGCTTTCCCCATATTCCAAAAGTGCTTCGTCTCTTTGCTATTACTGTCGCCCGGCATAATTTGCAGATGATGTTGTTTGCAGCCGCTGCAATGCTTTCGACCAAAACAGGCTCAGCTTGATGACGCCGTCAACATGCGCTATCACGGTAGAGCGGTATAGTGAAAATCTCTACAGTTGGCCAAATTTATATAGTTTCTACCGTATACCGTTTCTACCGCCCACCCCTAACGCTAGTCAAGTTTTATTAAGCTCAAGTCTGCTGATTTTGTCACAGGCTTAAGGCTGTAATGCTGGAAATGCCACATTTTGGAGTAAGGTCTAGTCGAGGTCTGGTCTTGTATAGTGTAACCTGCATGTAACATCCTATGTGCATGCATCAGTGGACCATAGGTGTTTTTCTGGGTATCTACCAAATATCAGGTAGTTTCAATATTGTGGCTGACCTTTGGGTACTGTCCATACTCAGCATGCAGTGTGACCAGTTGTTTATCTGTTTTATTCTGTCCAAGCAAAGCTTTTGCATTAGTTGGTAGAGTTACACCAGCAGAAATGCCTATCTGATGCTGTAGGGGCACATTCAAATGGAGGCGTGACAACATAAATTATAAATTAAAGGGTCCCCATCTGGTCAAAACAGTTTTGTTCAGCAGTGCTGAGGTATTTGACTCTGATTTTAATTTTAAGACATTATAATATTTGGTGCAACAAATAATTTAGAAAGGAAATGAAATGCTATATCTGTCACTATGTTCCCTGGACAAATAAAAAGTTATCAAATGAATTGTCATCACATGGTGCAGATGGGCCACCAGAGGGAGTTTACAGGTTTTGTGCTTTGTCACAGATCATCTGTCTTCCACCAACTCAATTCTTTCTTTCAGACAATAGACATTATAGGCATAACGTTGTATATTCACAGCCCAGATAATAAAATTACCTATCTATCTAATCTGGAGAGACATTGTAATTATTTATGTTTTGCTATTTTTCTTTTATGTGATATGACCATATTATCGATTGTATACACTAGTTTGTATTGTATACAATGTGTATTGTACACTCTATACAGTAGAGTATAATATTCAATCCTACGGGTCCCCCATAAATGTACTGTACAAAAAAAGGTGTACACAGTCAGTTGTTGATGATTTGTTGCCTGCAATCACTAAAATTATTTAAAATTCAGATTAGAGTGAAACTCCCCAACAATCAGACAAATCCCTATGCTCAAGCAGTAGAAAATGGACTGCTTCTTATATAGCACTTTTCTACTCTGACAAGGCACTCGGAGCACTACAACTTGCCTCATTCACCCACTCATACAAGCACCATTTTTTTTCTTTTTCTATGCAATTGCTTTCTGTCTAAAATTCACACTCCAGTGGATGCATCGAAGAGCAACTTGGGGTTACTATCTTGCCCAAGTATATCTGGCATGCAGGCTAGTTCAGACAGAGGATCTGTTGCTGTTGGTTTTGGCAAGTAAGAAGAAAAAATAGAAGAGCATTCAAATAGATTACAAAATTCTGATTTCACTCTACATTAGTTACAGTCACAGATACATATTTTGAAATAAAGACTACACAAAATGAAACATCTGAAAACGAACCTATAACTCTTTACTAAGATATAAATAACCTTTTTTCAGTTTGTTTTTTAATAAAGCCTAAATGCCAAAAAGTCTATATTGGATCACAATAAACCACACATCGCAGCCAGTTTTCATCATTTTCATTTGAGTCACAAGCCTTCTGTAGAAAACAGTGGTTTTCATCATGGTACCTGGCTGGAGGAGGCTTTCCATGAACAACCTCAAGGAAAAAAAAATCCCTGAAGTGAATACAACTTGTGTATGAACAAAAATGGACACAACAATATCACATGTCCAAGACTGATCTTCCCAAGTACATGAAAAGCCCATGAAAAGAAAATCCGCAATCAAGTTCAAGAGAAAAATTTCCATGGCATTGGTAAGGCAGCAAAGGCTGTTGCATATCAGTGAATGCAGTGTTGATTTTTATAAGTAGTAGCTTCCACCAATAACAAGCAATTGCTCTCTGACCATGGCATGTTTGCATTAGAACAGATGGAATGCCCTTTCTCTGAAGCAAAACTAATAGAGATTACCCATAGAAATTTATTTTTTATTTACTGTAGTTGCAGCAAATTTTTTGCAATATTTAGCTGTTCAGTTAAAAAACACAGAATTCTAAATTTGCCACAGCTGATATTTTTCTTCCTCTATGAAAGTACATCCTCCGTCAAAGAATTTTTACGTTTAAAACCCACACATTTTGCTTTCTCAAATGTATTGGCAGGGGCACAACACCTTGGGTTGGTTGCGTTGATTCAAATTTTCACCTGATGTGTTTTTGTAACTTTTCCTTATAATGCTTGTGTCATTTGGGCAGGTTTTTTGAATCAGTGGAATTATTATTACAGTAATGCGGCTCAGCAAAATGCACTAGCAATTTTTATAAACTGCTGGATGGCTGACTTTATATGACATGGAAGTGACTTTATACTATACTTATGCATGTTCATCTTCACAGTAAATCAAATCTTTTGTTATTCATTTTTGCAAGTCTATCATAGTTGTAATATAATGTCTTGTCAATTATGTACTGCTATGAAGAATATTTCAAAAATATCGATGGGCATCTTAATAGGTCATGCCATGCTTTTTAAACCTCATGCTGCTTGTTAAATACATGTATTAACATATTTCTTAATATGTTAATTCTGTTTTATATGCATGTGCGCTACAAGTGAACTTAATTATTTAAAATATTGCTCACTGTTCTTGTATTTAAAACACCAGCTTGTCCTTGAAAAATCTTGAAAAATGCATGCGTCATTGGAGTCTTCCTTAAATCAACAACAAAACCAACCATGATATTTATTTTTAATACCCACTTCATTGTACCATTTCTTTCAGGTGTCACCTGCATCTTCCAAGACAAATATTTCACAAGATTCACAACAAAAAAATCTTGATTTAGGACAGAGGCAGGTCTTTCCAGCAGAATCCCCATCCTTACCATGTGATTCAAATACAGTTTTCACTAAAAAACTAGAATTACCAATTCCAGCTAACTTTGACTTGAGTAAAGCACAATTTGACACCACAGTGACCAATCAAATTAGTGCACCAAAGGAAAAAGACAAAATGTCATCTCCCACAAGTGAAGATTATTGCTTAGTTAAACCAAGCTTCATGACTCTAGAATCAGTCTCTCAAACAGCTCAAGATAGCCCAGATGCTGCAACTGTCATGTCCTCAGAATCCACACCAACACCACCAGGGTCTGGGTCCCCTCAGCTTGACCAGCTTCTGTCAGATCTGGAGGAGATGAAACTTAAGTTTAGACCAGAGGCACTTAAACCACATTCATCTGAATCCACCAACAAGATCCCTGCAGTTAACCAAATGTATGAGTTCCAAGATATTTTCCTTCAGGATCACGGCCCTGCAGAATATAGTGATGCTGCACAGCTTGCAGTAGATAACCCAGATATACCCATTACAGAGCATCCACATTTCCAGACATCCATGCAGCTTGAACATGAAATGGTCTCAGTCATTCCCGATGTAACAAAACTTGTCACAAGTGTACCATCAAGCTCTGGTCTTCATAAAGACAGTTCTGAGTCCTCTAATGAATCCCTTTCAAGCCCAGAATCTTCCCAAAGACTTTGTGAAGAAATGGAACAACCAAGCTTTCATGTGGATGCATTCCAGTTAAGCACACATGGTCTAAATAATACTCAGAAAATTCCTTCAGTTGCTACAAAGAGCAAGTCTGACATACCTGAGAAAGATATTTGTTGGGAAGATGCTACAACTGACATTCTTCAGAGTCAAGAAGCACATGAATTAGCTATGCCATCTAATGACTTTAAAGGTGTGACAGAGGAATCACAGACTATCGCAGATAGACTATCGCAGTTATGGGCAGCAAACTCTGTTGACAGTATACATAATGAAGATTTGTCTTCACAGTCTCTTTCTGATTTGACTCCCGAGACAGTGATATCTGCAAGAAATTTCAGCTTTGAAGAACTGGTGCCCAATTCCTCATCAAGGAACTTAAAAATATCTTCAGATGAGGACAGGACCAGTGAACACCACTCAGAAGGATCTCTCACTTCAGTAGACGATGAATGTTTTGACTCTCAGTCTTCTTCAGTCAAACCCCAAACTGATTCTTCTTCAGCCTCTGATGAAGAGTACAACTTGCCACCTGGCTATGCAGAGGCCTCCTCTATTTCATCTACCTATACTCAGATACCTCCAGGATACAGTCCTATAGTGCATAGTGGTGCAGACAGTCCAACCAATGAATATTCTGACCTAGAGCCTTACTTTGACTGCAAACAGGGTTCATCCGATTTCTCAGAGCCTGATCCCGATGAATCTGAGACAAGAGCTAGGTCAAGTGGAGGTCAAGCCCAGGATCACTCTAGAGTGCAGGAAAAGTTGGATCAAAAAGTACTAATGTCTTCTGGAAGTGAAGACTATGAAGACGCTTCTTTTGTCCATGAGCCTCTTTATCGTGTAGATGTAAAGAGAGAAGAAATGCAAGAAACATCAGATGAAGAATTCACCTTGTGTGAGACTTCACAACCACCACCTGTCTGTGAAACTGCAGCATATCATGATACTGATAAATCTCTGACAAGGGTAAGATGAGAGTTGGTAAAAAACCTGCAAGTGTTTTCCCCAGAGCTGAGCTTGGCCAAATGACTATATTTGCTTCAGAGAGGAATGACTGCTGGTAACCCTGTAGCCACATGAATGGGAGCTAAAACTCCTTCTAACCCTTAATTTGTTTTGATTTCACATTTGACTAATCCTTACTTAGCATGTCACTTTGCTGCCTGTAACTAGTAGGATCACTCACAGTGATAACATGAGTTACTTTTTTTTCATCAGTAGGCACATTTATTGTCATCTAGGTAAGAGCATGGTGTATTTTCTTTTTTTTGTTTAATTATAGACTGCCATGTTGTACTTTCAGTGTAATGTACAAAACGACATGCAATCATCTGAAAGTGCAACATATCACTCTGCTTCTTGCTTGCTTTCCTGCAAACCTAGCATTCATGCCGTCATTCATTATTAAATGTCAATGGATTTGTGTTGCTTGGTCAGGAGATCAACGCTGAGCTTGGATCAATGTCAGAAAGTTCAGATGATGAATTTTTGACTGCCAGAATAGTACAAAGAAGAGTTGTCATTCAGGTATCTGATTTAGCATGACTGATGATGTTTTAAACCAGTGTGGCAACTAAATGAAAGCTAAAAAGTTTAGCTACAAATGTTTATTTTCTAACAACCTTAAGTCTTAACAGAAAGGATGAAAATGGGTTCAAATTAGATAACAGACCCCTTGATTAACATGTATGAGCCTAACCTGAGAGTTTTGTGCTCCTGTGAGCACTTTTTTTTCTTGGTTTATTTAACAAAATACATCTGAAAATGCAAGTTTGTTTCCTGTGTCCCAAAGTCTCTGTTTTCTCACTGAATTACTGCTTAAAAGTTGTGTGCATTGTTTTACTCGAACATACAGTTGCACTAATTTGTCAGTTAAAGAAGTGAATATTTTACTGACCCAAATTAGCCTGTCTGATTATTAGTTGTCTTGTTTTCCTCATAGGCTGATGAAATGCCAGACCTCCCTGCCCAGTCGGTGTCAGAAGAAAGGTACAAGGATGAAAATGGACACATAGTTGTCAAAAAGGTGGAGAAAAAATGCACTATATGCATTATATGCAGCTTCGAAAGTTAATCCTATATATAGTCGTTAAATGCATTATCTTGCTCAGGTTACCCGTAAAATTATACGTAAGTGTGTTTCCGCGGATGGTGCGGAGCATGAAGAGACGACCTTAGAAGGAGCTCCTCAGGGGTTTGTCCCTGCAGCGGAGGGAGATGGCTACTCTAAGGTTGTGAAGCGGACAGTCGTGAAAAGTGAGGGAGACCACACAGAGGTATGTGCGTTGGAGATGTCCTTCTTCATAGTGTTTTGTTCTGTTTTGTTTTGGGGTTGTTTGTTTGTTGTTGTTTTTTTTTTTTTTTTACCAAAAAATGGAAGGTGTAACATCTATACTGATATTAATATATAAAGTACAGCTAAATAAACTTTCTTTCTGACCTAGGTGACTTTTACCGAATGTGAGCATTCGTCATCATCAAGGCAGGAGACGGCTGATGGCCGCAAGATCAGTCACACGGAAAGGACAACCGTGTTGGAGGGTAAAAGGACAGTGACACACCATGGTGATCAGTCTTTGACCTCTGATCTGCCTACAGCCCAGGACGACTTCAAGAAGGTTTTTAAACACTTTGTCACCGTTATTCCCCAACCACATAACCACATATTAACATAATACTTAAACATCAACATTCATCATGTCATAGTTGTATGTTTAAAAAAAATTTAAAAAATAGCACATTGTGAAGATGTTTCGAGTTTCAAATGTATGTTTTTTATTATTTAATCACTTTGAATTAAGAGACTGTGTTCTCTGCTTTTCATGCCACCAGGCATTCGGTTATTTGAGTGGTTTTAGCGGAACAGAGCTCCCTCTGGTGGTAGAAAGAGAGACTATCAAAGAGGATGGAACAGTGGTCAGGAGGTGTGCCTACTGGAGTGCACGTGTGTGTGTGTATGTGTGTGTGTGTGTGTGAAGCTTACTATTATTGACTAATGTTTGCGCATGTTCATTTGTGCTGGCAAACAATTTTTTTGTATTCTTAATCAATTATAAAAGTCAAACGTGTAAATAAACCAGTGAGATTTGAGTTTATAATTTCTTAACTCTTGTGAACAAGTGTAAGAAAATGTTGTCCCGTGCACTACATTGAAATTATTATTCATGCACTATTTAGTTGTTTTTAGTAAATCATAGTTTTAGTGATTACTTTGTGTTGCTGCTTTTGAGTAGTATAGAAGTTGAATAGCCTTAAATATTCCAAGTAATTAACAAGCAAAAGACACAAAAACGAAAAGGAAAAAGATACATTTTGACACAAATGAGTTTTGAGTAGAATTCCGTAGGTTTCCTAATGGTGGTATTTTACAAACAAGTTTAATTCAGGAAAAACTGGCTCAAAAGAAATTCCTTGGTTTGAGGAACCTGAATTCAGGTTCCACGCAGGGGACGACACGTTTTCAGCCTTAACAGTATGAGTTTTGCAACACAATCTTAAGCTTTCTCCACTAAGAAAATAGCTATGAAGTTGTTCACAAAAAATTGATTCCTTTCATCTAGTCATAGTGATTTCAGGTCCAGATGAACAGAATCAAGTTGTGGGGATTTCCTTACCTGGACGATTGAGCATGCATCAAGTTGATGTGCATGTGTGCAGCGAGTATTAATAGAGATGAGAAAGAGAGATCAATTTCTCCCATAACTGCTTCTCAGGCTCACTGTCCACAACTGAATTTAAAGTCCTTCTCTTTACAAACAAAATCCTGAGTAATCAGGCTTCATCATACCGTCATCAGACAGTTTTATATTATCCCAACAGAGCACTTCTGCTTTCAGGCGGCAGGTTTATTTGTGGTTTCTAGAGTTTCTAAAAAAGCTTTCACATTTTGTCCCCCATGTGGGTGATATAGAGTCACTTGATTATTGGGGTTTTCTCCAGAATACTATAGGGTCTTTACTTTACAGTATCAAGTGTCCTGAGGTGATCGTTGTTGGGATTTGGCACTTTATAAGTAAACCTGAATTCAATTCAACTGTGTAAATCCAAAAATGTAATGTTGGATATACACGGTCTAATCTGTGTGGGGTTTTTTTTCTCCTATAACATATTTGTAACTATAGCTCTTCCTTTACTTTATTTTCCACAGGTGAATTTTTTCAAAGATATTTATCTCTCTTTATCTATTTCCCCTCCCTGCCTCTTGCTACCTGTCCAGGGCCCATCTGCGTAAAGGTTGCACTCTCACACGAACAGTGGTTGAGGGAGCTGGGCAGCGCAAACAGGTCATTCAAGAGAAAGTGGACCACCCCAGAAAAGAATCGAAAACCCGTGATCTCCAACAGCATCTCCACCAGCTCTTTCACCGCTACTACGAAGAAGAAAAGAACAATGACGATGAGGAAGGAAGAGTAAATGATTGAGTAACACTCTGCCCAACTCCCTCGTTGTGCCCATGCTAAAATCCCTGCTAGTCCTATGCATTAGTCACATGCAATCCTAGTGTGCACAAACACCTCAAAGCTACCACAGTCTTCCCCTTTAGGACCTGGAAGATGATCTTTAGTTCTTGATTTGGAGTTTTTTCCCTGTGTGGTTTTAAAGTGCTTCTGAGTTTCTTTATTGTCTTTTTTTTTTATTTTTTTTGCCTTTTGTGACCAAAGAAAGCCTTTTGTTGATCTCCTGATTGTTTTACTTTCTGATTCAAGTTGTCTGATAGGTTTGTCTTATCCTGTGGTAGAGCAACAAAACACTCAAAGAAAACAGAGCGACACTATCCCCATCAAATAACTCACAAACCTCCAGAAGTACATTTTACTTAAAAACACTGGTACTGCTCTTGGAGTAGGTGCTTGGACTGAAAGACGATATTTCACATTGCACTGCCTCTCACAACTTTCACAGATAATCCTTTATGAAAAAAACAACAACTTCTCACTCACTGTACTAGCCTCTGCTTTTTTGATTCAGATGGTCAAGATGTCACAAACAGAAAATCAGACTGTACTGACACTGAATTTAACTGCTGCTGTTGTGTTTCGTGTTGACTATGTGTACTCTGTCTTTGGGAATTATATATTCTATTTAATCTCAACATTACTGACATCTGTAGCCTAGGAATGAATAATCACTCATGTGAACTTAACAGGCATGACTAATCAACATCTGTCAGTTTGATCCTAGCTTTGACTGCTTTGTCGTTGTGTGGATTGCCCTTCTGCCTTTCTTTACCTTGTGTGTGTGTGTCTTTCATTCTTTATTATTATGTTTCAACTAAACATTGTTGACCTCCACTTTTAAAGTATGGATGTGATGAGTGCATGTGTGACTGTACATGCTTTAGGTTTGATTTTGTCTGTGCATTTGATGAGTTAAATACCACACTGAATGCTGGTCAAAAGTTTCTGTAGGTGATTTTAACTTGTTTGCTGATGTTTGTTTGTATTTTCATTTTCGTGTAGAGAAGTTATTTAATTTAATAATTCAGCCCCTCAGGATTTGGCACTGGGAAATGGAATAATCCCAGTTTTCTAATATTACATTTGTGGTAAGATGATGATACACTCAATGTTTTATTTATGTAAAGATTTGTTAGTTTATCTTTTGAATCCGATTGTTGAAGTAGATAAAGGCGGTTTTGTGTTATGTGTGTGAGTGAATGATTTGGTGTGTGTAGTTAAAGAGTGTGTAGCAGTTTCTGTCAGCAAAGAAAAGAAATGTTTATTTTACACAATTAGCATTTGCACTCCTGAATGTCAGAAGAGGAAACCTCCATGCTTTCTGTGCACTGCAACACAAGGTACAGAATATATCAGCCACAGGGATAGTCTCATTGTGGAGGGATTGCTGTAACAAAGCAGGTTGAGAGCTTAAATATATGATTATCCGCAGCTCGGAGCATCGCTACTGTTTGTATTTACAACATGCAATGTATTTACTCTCACTCTCACTGTTTATTTTGTGATTTAGAGAAAAAAATGCAAATTAGTGGAGATTCACTGTGACAGATATGCTTTTAATTTGAAGACTCAGCATCCCTTCTCCGTGATGATGACCCGTTATATACATATACAATGCATATATAAATAAATATCTATAAAGGCATGTATTACTGTATCAAAAGTCAAAAATGCAGAAAAGAAAATGGCTGCAGTGTATCTATAGCTGAGAATAAAAATCTACAAATGTGCAGTGTTGTATCTGATTACATCTTTTAACTGTAAAATGGGCCATTTTGACATGCCAAAACAGTAGCTTGGGTGTATTGTTGATGGTTGTGTCTCAGGGGAGGTCTTGCATAACCAAGTTCAGAGCTTACTGGAACTGAGAATTATTAATTCCATCTGTGCTTTTCTAGAAACTACTTTACTCTGCTTCTTTATTTGCAAGAGGTTGCCTTGTCTGCATATTTGACCATGAATATCATGCTGGATTTTCTTCCTGACTTAACTCCAAAAGGATTTATGTCTCAGAACTGAACTGGGGAGCTTTTGTTTGTTGGGAAAATGTCTAATACATTACACTTTTTCTACTGTGACAAATGAAAATTTATCTTAAAAATTGTCTTTTTTAATTCCTGCTACATCCAGTCCCATCAGTTTTATAATAAAGATTTACATAAAACATGTAATTTAATAAATGCTGCTGTGAAAGTTAGGCACATGTACTTAGTAGACTTTGTACTGCCTCCTGCTGGGCATCAGGGGTAACCCAGAAGAAACAGATTTTCATTTAAACTCAAGATAAATGGGTTGTATGAATGTTACCTTACACTACACATTTTCAAAGACACAGTTCCAGTCTTTAAAAAGTATTACAAATGATCCATAAATCTGCACCCATGTTTACTAAGACTCAAATCAGCTACTTGGGAAGAACTTGTTTATAAACAGGACAGCTATCATCACAGTGGGTTAAGAAATTGATTTGCCTAATTGACACATGTTCAGGTCTGTGTGAAATGCACTCTTCTGGAGATGTGATCTAAAGATCCTTTCCTTGGTTTAGAACCCTGCAGTTGTCCTTGTGCAGTAGCCCCACAAAGCTAGTGAATTCAAGAACTTGTTGATGGTAAGAGGGTTGAAAGGTTAACAAATCTTCATCCAAGGAGGTCATTTAAGGTTGAACTGCTTATTTAATACACTTTACCTCCATACTACCAAGGTAAGTAGAATCCAACTTTATTGATCATAAACACATGTTTCACCTGGTAGCTTAAATATTTAAATACTTTCTCACTCATTTTCAGTCCAGTCCTCACACCTGACCATTTTCAGGGGAATATTTTTTAATCAATCATTCATGCACAAAAAGGCATCTAACTACAAGGATCAACCAGTGTTGTATCTACACAAAACAGGCAAATTAGCAAAGAACATATTTTTAACTGTATCTTTAGACAGTTTGTTACTAGCAAAAGCACATAATTCTTTTCCATTTCTTTAGTTGAATACAAAAAATAGCCAAATATAACACTTTGAGGAGTAAATGGTAATTTTGCAACAACAAGGTGATTCCCAAAGCGCCATCAACTCAATACTTGGCATATTTCGACATCGTGTACAATGTATCCTTAAAAAGTTTGAGGAATCAGGACAAAAGAAGAAGTCATAACAGTGATTGTCTACAGTCATACTATAAAACACAGCTGAGGCTCTGTCATGGTTTGGGGCTGTGTTTTAGTCAGTGTTGTTGGAGATCTTGTCAAAATTGATGGAATTGTGAACAATCATATTTTGGTCCACCATGCAATACCATCTGGAAATACCATCTGATTAATAACAGCATCATTTTCAGCCGGAAAATCATCCCAAACACACTGCTAATGCAGTAAAAGCATACCTGCGTAGAAAAAAGATACGTATGCACACTATCAGTCATGGATTGACCTCCCCAGAGCCCACATTGTACATGTTGTATTTCAGAGTATGTTTAAACATGAAAATGTAATATAAGTCTTTAAATATCCAAATAATCAGGCACAACAATATAGCCTGGTCTGGGCTTAGCATTTCTGAAGCACAACCATCTAATCACACAGTGACCAAACCACAGGACACAAATGCATGAGAAATCAATACCAAAATAACACAAAATAAAATTAAAACACATCAATTATCACATATTTTAGCTGATTTATTTATTTCTTAAACATGTTAAGCCATCCATTGCCATGCTGGCAACAGTTACACACCAGATAAGGAGTGGTGCATTGCATTGACATCATACGTTTTGTCGAAAGAAATGTTTATCATATTTTCCCTTTTGAAAAAGAAGAGACAAATCAGTCGAAAAGAGCAAACAGTAGGGATGACAAGGACACTGCCATTGTCCTGCAGTGGTAAGACCACTGGCTAGCAGAAGCACTGATCGCCAAGGAAGACATCCCAACATTTATTACAGTCCATTGCACTTTCTCTCCTTCAATTTTCTGATACCATCCTCTTGCCTTGGTGCAACTTTTTCATTACAGTGCTTCCAGACCTATTAGTCCAACCACCAGTTTGTATCACTTGACCTGACAGAAGGCAAACCTTCTAGTGCTTTTGTGCCATCTTCATCATCTGCACCACCTTTATGCAATTGGCAAAATAACACACTGGTATGACAAGAATAAAATGACAAAAGAAACCCTACATACAGTTATACAATACGAGTACAAACATTATGAAAAATGAGCTTGTTTTCATCTTATTTTTTGTACAAAATGTAAGTGGTGCTTCGGCAACCCGGAGTTTATTCTCCTCCTCTTAGATATGAGATTCCGATATTTGGATGGTAACAATAACAATGTTATTGTTTTTACAACAGTTCCATGATGCTGGAGGACATTAGAAACATTTGGACAGGACTGATGCACAACATTAACAAATACAAACAAACAAGTCAGTGACTGACAAATCAAACAGAAGATATAATAGTTTCATATGATCTTACGCACGATAACACCCCCCTCCCCCCACCATGCACTACACAATAGTCTTGGATTTTCATATATTACATATATGCTACATTCTCTTATTTCTTATTTCACTTATATAAAGGCAAACATATCTCAACGCAAGTGTAAGCTGCTCTGTTTTTCTTTACATTTAAATTAGTACTATAGATTGAAATCTGACAATTTAAACAGTATGACTTAGCTCATAGCAAACATAAATGTAGCTCATAAAACTGGATTTTACGTAAACTCTTAGTCCTCTGATAGCAAGAATAGCAATTTCAGTATTTGTTTTTGTTGTGTTTTGTGTTTTTAAACCAACAATCACAATGTATATACATCACCAGAACTAAAGCAAGCTCAATTTTTAACATTCTGATCTTCCAAATGTTTTTGAATTGCACACACATAAATACACATAAAAATACATAACTATTTTTTGGGAGAGGTTACAGTTGTAGATCTTTAAACATCTCTATTTTATATTTAAAATGCATACCAAAACATCTTAAAAAAACAAACAAAAAAGATTTTTTTCTCAATATGCTTGTTTCATAATGTCCAAATACGGTGTGCAGCCACCCAGTGGTGGTTTCAAATGATGTCCATTAATAAAATGCCATAACAGTAAAATGTAGTAATACTTGTTTCCTGTGGTATGTCATATCCTTATGGAGGGGTCAAAGAGCAGTCATGAACTCCACTAGATTTGCTGATGGGGGTTCTTTTTTCTTTTTCTTTTTTTTTTTTTTATGTGACCACATGTTGATGTTCCATTAACTGAAAAGACAGAGAGCAACCATGTGAATTTCTGCTGACAAGACAGCATAAAAAGGATCTTTTGAGAAAACATGTTAAGGCATGTAATGGCATGTAATGAAAAGCACACATCAGTGAAAGTGAAAAGTACTGGCATGGTACTGGCATGCAAACAGCTCTGAGGTACTGTTTACTGGTAATATCCCAGAAATGCCAACAAGACACTTGCACAGGTGTGTTCAAATATAATGCCAATATTTATACTCAACCTTTGCAAAGCAAACAGTTTATACATGATATTATGATCATGCCATGCCAAGTGAATATTTCCCAGGCTCTCAATTCAAAACAAATCAGCAGGAGTTCTTTCACTTTTAAAGAAAGTCTGCACAGAATGCTTAAGGTGATATTTTATGTTATACAACTACAGTTTCAGTTTTCATTATACAGCTCCGATCAAAAGTTTAAGAACACTTGAAAATGGCAAAAAATCATATTTTGCATGGTTGGATCTTAACAAGGTTCAAAGTAGAGCTTCAACATGCAACAAGAAGAAATGGTAGTGAGACAAAACGTTTTTTTGAGCATGCAATTAATTAAAAACAATGGTTAAACTGAAACAGGCTTTATGGATTTATGGATTTATAAACTATTCTAATCTTCCCAGATAGAAAGAAAGAAAAGAATCATCAGAAATCATTCAGAAACCTTTTAGCTACTGGTGCTGGTAGCACTGGTTTACATAATCTAGCTACAATACCGTCCAAACATATAGAACCACCATGCATTTATAATATTTTGCTTCCATGGAGCCAGATTTTCTTTCTTTCCAAATTGGTCTTTAGCAATAATTCTCCTGGCTTTCTGAAGTTCTTTCAGTTTTTTTCTTTGCACAGTTATTCAACCTGGCCACTTTCAGAAGATGATTTGTTGTTGTTGTTGCTGTGGTTTATTTTGATTTGTGTTTATTTATTAGGCCACAAAAAGGAGACTATGAATTGTTCATTTATAAAAAGGTACCTTGCTGACAGAATTAACTAAACAGTGTTTGTCTACATATAACAGAGAAATTAACAAAGAACTAACTTTTGTATCTTTAGGCACTTTGTTACTGAGAGCCTTGTAGAAAAACATATTTGTTACTTTAGTTGAATCTGCAAAAAATGCCAAAGAAGAGCTTTGAATGTCCTTCAAGAAGCCTGAAGAACTGTTCCTGAAGACCACTTAAAGATATTAGAAGAAAGCTAGCTAAGACAGTTCAGACTGTGTTGGAGAATAAAGGTGGTCACACCAAAATATTGGCTTTGAAGCTTTGATAGAGTGATAGAGTAGGAAGCCCAGGACATAGAGGGGGGTTGTGGTTAAATTAATATTACATCATACTGTAATACAGAAATTCCCTGCTTTCTCAATAGTGAAGTCATAACTGGTACTTATTTTTATCTTTGTAGGAGTAAGGAAACTTCGGGGAAATTCAAGAGCGACGACGC